AGCGCACTTCACATTGGGCTGTTGCAGCCCCAGTGCATTCTGGGACTGTTTAGTAAGCACACTTCACATTGGGTTGCTGCCTTGGTCTTGTTTACCAACATGAGGTCGGGCAACAGGTGTGTCAGGATGATTGGACATTTTTCAAAGGGGTCACTGTTCCCCTCGAGAACCACAACCAAATATGGCTCCTTTCCAGAAATAAACCTAATGATGTGTAGCTAATTGTATATTTTGGACATGCCTCACTTCGCTTCCTGAGTGCAGTGTGACCTGTTGGGTGCTGTGTGTCATGCATTTACCTGCTGAGTGGAACGACAGCACAGGGAGTCCTTATTGGCTGGAAGAGGAGGTCATGTGACTCTATGAGAAATGTGTAGAAATGATGGGACTTTAGAAGGCGCTGCTCAGAAAATGGAGACTGAGCGAAATAGATGAAAAGTAAAAGCAGCCAAAAACAAACTGCCGCAGTACATTCAAATGCCCTCAGTGCTCAGGCTGTATGACTGGATACACGATTAACCCCTTAATATATCTGAAACCAAAACGCTGAGTGTGCAAATACATCCATACAGCCAGATGTCATCGGCACATGAGCGTCGTTTTAGAAAGTTTCCGTGTGGAAGTGCTGAGTTGCCGAGCTGAAATGCACCCTGGGAGGCTTTGAGTAATTGACTAATCCAGATTAATGTTCTCGCCATGGTGGGGGAGAAGTAATTGCAGGCTGTACATCAAAATATGGAAAAAAAAAAGAATTGAATTTTAATAGCTTGCTGCTAAGTTTTGTTTTGTGGTAATTTAGATTCAGCAAAAAGTCAATGTGGTATTGTTAAGCTAGTATTTACAATATTCTCTATAAAGACAGCAGAATGAAAGAGAGAATTAAATAAAGACGACACTTAGGGGGCTCTGTCCCATGTGGAGCGTCAATAATAACAGACTGTCAGCAGCGTGTTTGGGGTCGTAGCCTGAATGAGCACTGAGAGCCTCGTGAGTGAAGATGTCTGCGTGTCGCTAAGGGCCCGACAGCCCTGGTGTTGCGACGTCGCATCAACTGCCTGGAACTAGACGGGGATGCGGCAGGAAGCTATTTCAGGTGCGGCGCATCTGTTGCCTGTCAGCCCTCCCTGCCCGCGCCGGCGTCTGTCGCTGAGGCACCCGAGCGGACGTGAGGGCCCGGGGTCTCCTGGTGAATCAGTGTTTCTTTAATGTTTCTCCACATTTGTCCCCCAGAGATATTTCGGGAGTCTTCGTTAGTGACCCAGGCAGCGCGAGTCGTGCGACAGCCATAATGAAGAGGAGGTTCTTGGGGGGTGTGGCGCGTGAGGTGGCTGTCGGGGCTGGATGCACGGTGGGTGTGCGGAGCATAGGGGCGTTTCCTAGGGAACCGAATTCCATGATTCCAGTGGGAGTAATGAGGCTGGAAGTGAGTCTAATACCCATTAATATCATTTTATTATCGTCGTAATGTTAACATCCACTCTCTGATGAACCTCAAAGTGTTTTCATTTGGTTTGTATTGGAACCTTTTCCTCACTGCTTAACACGCACCAAATAAAATGGGTGTTCTGGGGGGGGGGGGGGGGCACACCTCACCCCCAGTGACCATAAAGCAAAAGGAAACTGAAAGTGAAGGTACAGAAAGTTACTTATTGGGTTCACCACACGACCATCACGGGTCGTGCTCAGAATGGCAGCTTATTCCTGAAGAGAGAGCTGAGAGTCATTCAGCAGTACAACAAGCCAACGCTGCACTTAACTAAAAGTCTCTGACTCTGGAAAGGATGCGAATGTAGAGTGATTGTGCTCCTCAGTGCGGATAAGATGTAAAAGGGTTAGTTTAATCAACTTCCGTCTCCCTGTAACTGCGTAACAAGCATAGTCAGCATTTCAAGCAGCATAATTTATCTCCATTAAATCACATCTCTATATCACAAATGCTTGTCTGTCACGTAGAGCCAGATAATTGGCTTGAGAAAGTGCATTTGGATGCTGGGTAATTAAAACCAAAACTCATGAACCGCTTTGGCTGTGCTGTCCCGCCCGACTATGATCCATTTCCTTCCCGTTTGAGCTCTCTGAAGTCACACGGTAAAACAAGATGACGCCATTTTACTCAGTGATTCAATGAAGGTGAGTTTTATGAATGTGTCATTTTACACGAGCAGATGCCCCTTAGCAGTGCATTAATGAACACCGCGACAGCATGTTTTCTGTGTGCTTGGTATCGCTGACAGCCTGCAGATTTGGTGGATTTTCACTAAATGGTGAGTTTGGCCACATTTGGTGACGGTGCTTCGGACCTTTGAGCTCTGGCAGCTTTCAGGTTGTCGTTGCTGGAAGCTTAGAGCATCAGAGGAGGCTTTGATACCCAGAACTTGGAGGATTATTGCGTGCTGATTGTCACCAACCAAGCTGCCCCACTCCACCGGCTCTAACCCCTGCAGCGACAGACACAGCGATTCCTCATTTATTTCAGCAATACGCAGCATTTGTTTCCTTGCTCATAAAATTTGCACGCTCAGAATTCCTCAAAAATTAATGTGCGAATGGCAAGTTTTATTGTCAAGCTGTTTGGAAAGTGGAGTTTCAAAACGGTGCCAAGTCCGAAACATGCTACAGTGAGTAATCAGCCTCTACATTTATTCAAAGCTCTTAAAAAAGCTTGTCTCACCAGCCCAGCTTGCAGAGCTGAAAAATTTGACAAAATCCATTTTCGTCTTACTTTCGTTCCTGTAAATGAAAATTAAAAGCATCATGTTGGAATGAGTCACGGCTGGGCAAGCTGGGCCTCTCTGTTCACCAGACGCTGGCGGCCTCACGGCGGCATGAACGCACAGGTTCAAACTGCCTGTATTTCAGCGGATGTTAAACAGTGCTGTAAGGAGGCGGGCCCCTCGTTAGTTACCGTGGAAACAGGAGATGTGATCATCCTTTTTCTTTGGTGATAAGATGGGGAGGCTCAGCAAATGGATACATGTGACCTGTTTCCCCCCCCGCTGTCCTCCTTTGCTTCCCATGTCATGTTTGGCCTACAAAATATGTGCTGAGACCTTCACATTGCCAACAAATGCCGTGCTTTCCAGTACCTATCCTATATTTTCCCAGTATCTAGACTTTTTACAGTGAAAAAGCCAGTAAATCACTTTCACAGTCCTAAATCCTTCATAATGTTTTTTTAATGTGAACTAGAATGAAGTAGAATGAACCGGGGGGGGGCGGGCGGTTAGCTGGCACAGAACGGCTGCTACCGAGAGCTTTGTTGTCAGGGCGACTGGCCGCCGCGCGGCTTGACAGTTACGCCTCACCTTCGGCCCGCATCCTCCTGGGACGTCATTAAATTCCTGTCTCCAGCACCTCAGCCTCTCTGAGTCGTGCATGCAGGCCTCTCTTGCCACCTTGTGCAAGACTCATGGCCTCTTTCCCTCTCTCTCTCCCTCTCTCTCTCTCTCTCTCTCTCTCTCTCTCTCTCTCCGGGGGATGAAGCCAATGCTGAACTTAGCTTGATGTATGAATATTAAAGCAGAGCCCGTCTCCGTCTCCTGAACGCGTGTCTCCCTCACTCCTGCCCGCCGCTGTCCTGTCGGGTTTCATATCATACTGCAAAGCCAGTTAGAGATCCAGGCCCCGTAATGTTCCTGAATTTATTTTGTTTGGGTGTTTGGGTGCTGCTGCAGTGTAACCCCCCCCCCCCCAGCCATCTTCAGACCCCTTTGGATGGGCTGTGTGCAGTAGCAGGATTCAGCCTGGAACTCTGACTGCAGAATACCAATGGCAGGATGGGTAAATGCCAGCTATTGTACCTCGGTAGCAGTGCTGTCTGTCATAAGAGCTGCTCTTAATGTTTTTCTTAGTCGGACGGCCTTCTCTTCCGAGACGGTAAATAAATACGTTTGTTTGGTCTGAATGCATGTCTTTTCTTCCCCCTGCTTTCTATAAGTTGTCATGGTTACAAACAAAATACATGCAGGGAGGTAAGTAGAGGTGATGCAAACTAAAATAGCCAAAGGTTGCACCTGTACCGCCGGGCCGGTTGAGACCGGTGTAGCTGCCCAGCAGGACCCCCTGGGAGGTAGGAGGGGGAGAATCTCTCTGGGGGAAACACCAAGCCATTCAAGGCCCTGTGATCTGGGCCGATCGTCCCCAAAGCCGGCAGCCTGAGCACGCAGTGTGGCGTCGAGCGTCTGCGGTACTGGACACCTGCTCTCAGCGCTGACCTAATTGGCCTCTGTCAGTAGCAGAAGTCTTCATTCACAACCTGCAAGGGTCATTGGCTCCATTTTAAAATTAATTTCTAAATACAAGTTTTATATTGGGGTATTATAACACACAGCAGATCAGCAGGCAAACACACATGGCAAGTTTTATGTTTGGTCCTAAACTTTAGCGGCTCTCCGATTCATTGTGGAGGCTCATTATCTCTGAAGGGTTTGAATTCACATGCAGCTTCAAGCAGGGATGTTTATTTTCAGCGATAAAAAGCTTCTCTACTCTTCTACACTGGAGGAAATGTGAGGGTTTTTTTTAAGCTGATCCAGGGTATTTAGACTCTTGGTGTCATTACATTACACCTCCTTTGTGTGTGTGTGTGTGTGTGTGTGTGTGTGTGTGTGTGTGTGTGTGTGTGTGTGTGTATACATGTGAGAGGGAGAGGGTTTCTATTTACCACAATGCAGAGCACACAATATAAACCGCAATTAAAGAAAAAAAAAAATCGGTCAATACAATAAAAAACTAAAATAGCCAAAAGTTTTGTATTTTGTTTGGTTACTTATAGTGAAGGTTATAGCTGGGTAGGGGTTAAGGGTCTCATTGCTAGGATTTGGGTTTTACCCATACAAATGAATGGAGAGTCCCCAGAATGATAGAAATTAACTGTATGTGTGCGGGTGTTTTCTACCATGACAGGAAAAGTAACCTGGACAGTAAGAGCTATAGTCATTGTTAGCTAGAACACAGTAGGACTAGTTCCAGTTTATCAAGTTATAGGATTATTCAGTTTTTCAGTTAGAACAGCTGTGTTCTGTATTGTTAGTGACAGTATTAACTTCCTGTCACCTTTTTCCTTAGGTGATGAAACACTTGAAGCCTGGATTGATGGAGTATGAAATGGAAAGGTAAAGAAGACTTTTCCTTTCCAGCTAAATCTTTTATTCAGATTTTGCATATTGGTCCGTTATGGAGCCCATGATCCACTTAAGCCGTCAGATCTGCGTAACAGCAGCTGAGTTTTCCCAGCATGCATTTCTGCAACACAGGTTGCTCACACTACATAACCATGTGATTTCAGCTTTCTGGATCATTCTAAATGCAAGATGCATGATCAGGCGCAATGAAATGTGTGTTTCCTGCATTAAATTTAGATCAGGTGATGTGTGTGTGCAACTAGAATCCTGTACTGGTTGTACCTCAACTGTGTTCCTTATACTGCCTGGAATAGGATCCACCCCCGTAACCCTGACCAGGAAGAACATTAGGAGTTAGGAGATGGATGCTTGGTGTGTGGTTATAGTATGTGGTTTAATGAAATGATCGGGGTTTGGGGTTTCAGAAAGGAATACGACAGTCTTGGGTCCTTGTGTTGCTATACAAGCAAGACGTATTTGTGTCAACACCCACCACTAACTCAATATACATTTTTTATGCTGTGGTAATAGTCACAATTACATTCCCTACAAATAGTTAATATGATATGTAAATACTCGGTGGTACTGCCCTTGTTAGCATGCCGTGTAAACAGCCACTGTTATACCCCATATAAATCTGTATAGCAGCCACTTTTACAGTCCCGTTTAAGTCTTTAGTATGTTCTATAAGCCCCACCACTGCTTCCATATGAAACGGTAATGCTGCGTAAACTCCGCATAAATTGTTAGCAGGTTATGTGAAGACCCACTGTTACCTGCCGAAAATACTCCTGCACATTCTGCTTCTATCTGCATACCCCCCAAGAAAACACAATTCAAAGAAATCTAAAATAAGAAATTAACTTTACGGCTGCAGGACAGCCTTTATTTTTATAGAATTTTATTTGCTTCCTCCATTGAACTTTTTTTCTCTTTTTTTTTATTTAATTTTGCAGGAGTTTGTGGTTTTATCTTCAAAGGCTTGACAGCATTGTAAAGTCCACAGAACTGGGAATCTAATTTTTTTTGGGAAATAGCTGTTTTATTAGAAGGCAAAGGGTGAATTAGGGAAATGCAGTGTTTTATATTTACTGCGGACATAATGTTCCTACAACTTGAATCTCGTTGTGCGTTTCATATACATTAAAGTCATTATCAGTTTCATTTTCATTCAAATGTTTTAGTCATAGGGGGAACTATATACTTCACCTCCCTTGTGGAATAAATGATTTATCTAAAATTGTGTATTATACTGTGTCTGTCTACTTATTTTGGCAATGTAGTTTTGCAGTTCCAGCAGTATTTGTGGTCACATGGGAGTACATCTCAACAGGCTGTTTTCCAGAATGTTCCATAGTTTTCTGGAAAGGGGTCGAGGATTGTTTCCCAGTTTGCAGTGGGTTCTGGGTAGGCTGTGGCCCCCGTTGCACCTGTGGAGGCGACCTGGCTAATCGGAGTAGCAGCTCTTGGTGCACAGAGTGAGGGAGCTGCAGGGCATCCATAACCAGGCAGAGTTTAAGCTTGAAGAGAGTCACACAAGCATTTCATAGAGGCATCTGTGTCGCTGAGTGATTTGCGGTCTCCGTGCCTTTAGTGTGAGGTCACGTGTGATGGACGGGTATCCCACCCTGGGTGTCCCCCTGACGGACGGGTGTCCCACCCTGGGTGTCCCCCTGACGGACGGGTGTCCCCCCCTGGGTGTCCCCCTGACTTGTACTCTCTGTTGCATGAGAGAGGCTCCAGGCTCACTCAGATTCTCTGTTGGATCAGTGGTTATGGAGGACAGATGGATGGATCTTTTTTTTTCTCCAACTAGAGCCTCCAACATTTGCTTCAGTTTATTGAGAAAATATAATTTTAAGGTTATCAAAATTTAAAAAATCAAAATTTGCTTCTCTAAGAAGCTTCAGTTTTGCAAGTAAAATATATGTACAACAAGTAAAATTAGATCTGGGAAAGGTGTCCAAGGATGTAATACAGTCTGCAAACAAAGTGAACAAGGGATGGTTGGGAGTGTTTGTGAATGTTGGCAGGCTGATGACTGGGGGGGGGGGTCTCGATCTGATTTTGTGAAGTGATACTTCCCCTTTCTGGTGAGTGGATTCTGCACTCATGTGAGGGCGAACTTTGTATTCCCGCTCTCTAGTCTCTAGGCCACTTCCTGTCTAGGGAGGGAAGCAGGTGCCTCGGGAGGTGGGGGGTGGTGGAATTAAATACTTCATGTCAGAGGCAAATCCATCCCCTTATAGCAGTGTGTGCTGAGGCAGGCTGAAGGATCCACCGACCGCAGGTCTCGCGTCACCTGAGAAACGCTAAGCGTGACCCTAATGACTCAATAATCCCAAAATAATGACTTTGCTCCGAGCGAAATGTCTAAGAAGATCGGAAGTCCTCTAAGGACAGCAGCGTCACTGCAGTAAGCCTTGTCTAAACCGTTCATTTTAAAACCTCTTTTATAAGTACACGAATAAATCTCGTAAGTCTTTTCATAACTGCGTAAAATCGCTCTGGAATGAGCTGAAAGTAAAATGTAAAATACCGGATTCCCTGTTCTTGACAACAGTTCCTTCCTGTACTGAAACGCAACCCTCCTGGCTTGTTTGTGCCTGAGACTCTGGTTGTGTTCTTCTTCCTGCTGATGAATGCCCAATCTTCTGTTTTCTTTAAAACAGACCTTGGGCATGCTTGGTTTAATGAAGGAGGGCAGCCGTCCCCTTTGGGCTTGATTGCAGCTAAGTGGTTGGCCTTTTATTTGGGAGTTGCTCTAGTGAGGTACTTTGTTTATTAACTTAATTTCAGTGGTGATTAGGAAAAAAGCACATCGTGCATCGGGGGAAATCGGTCTTGGCATGCATGCTCGCTCTGGCCCACCTCCCACGCTCAGCCCTACCCTTGATGAACAAAACACAGCGCAGAGATGTGGCACGGTGGCGTGGTTTATTTTAAGTGTCTACAGCCTGCTCGGCTCTGACTCCTGTCAAAGGGTTTGTAGAAGCTCTACGTGGTGAGATTGTTCTCCTGGGATCAAATGATATTTTGATCGAAATCCTCTTGGATTGCAAAGACGAAGCAGCCAAGAAGATCACTTGTTTTAAACTGGAGAAGCTGGGAAGTCGGGTCACACAGCAGCAGAGGGATTTGGGAATTAACGGCAACTTGCGAACGCACTTCCCGAAACCGCGCTGTGAATGTGACTGAAAGGTCACGGGTTCGAGACCCCACAGAAATTGTAAACGTATAGTTCTAGTTAAATACTCATTGCCGTAATGTTCTTAAAAATTCCACCACGGCCCCTGAATGTCTTTCAGCTGTAATCCCACCTGTAAGTCTCTTTGCGTTAGCTGATTAGCTGGACAGCAATACCTTGCCTTGTCTTTAGCTTTCATACCATTTTTAATGACACTGCCAATATTTCCCATCGTCGCCTTAGTCTCCCCATAATAAAGACTCATTTTTTTGACAATTACTTGTAGTACTAAAGTTATAATTAGTGGATATTTTCAAGCACCTTGACCCTGTTTTGGATCATTGGAATGGAATATTTCAAGGTGTTTATAATTAATTAACAGCCACACTTTTTAATCATTCCCTCCCTCTATCCTTCCCTTGCGGTGTTTAGTATTTGTGTCATGCGTGTTGCTGCTGATCCTGCTGCCAGGCGCTGGGGGTGGGTGGGGGGCTGGGGGGGGGTGGGGCTGGAGGTGGGTGGGGTGAAAACGGCCCCAATTAGGAGTCTCTCTCGGTTTTAATGAAGAGCAGCACGCTGGACGGTGGAGGCGCTTGAGACGTCGCCAACAGCTCCGACTTCAAAGCCGCAGATTCCGCGTCCCAGCAAAGACCCGGTGAGGCAGAGGGGAGATAACGAGCCCCGGCTGCCGTTTGATGTGTGTCATGTGGGGGGGGGGCTCCTGCTTCCGGCATCTGGAGGCTGCAGGGGCCTGCGGGAGGCTGCGGCGCTGCGGCGCTGCACGACGGCAGCTGGGACGGGTGCGGGTGGGCGGGAAGATGCGACGTGGGCGATCTGTCTTTGTCAGGACTTGCAGCAAGGGGGCGCCATCAGAGGCCTGGAAAAGCTGCCAGACCGGCCTGCATATAAACCCAGACCTGTAAACCGCTGAATGATTTTAATTGCACAGGCTGGCTTGTTAATACCACGCTTCCAAGAAGCTGTATATTCAGCTACCGCTCATATTAATTTTTTATTGGCTTGCCTGCTTTACTATTTTTCTCCCCCCTCAAACTGGTTTAAAATGTTTACATATTTATACAGCAGTAAAACCACAGGCTAAGTAGTTTGCTCAAGGGTGCTAGAGCAGGCTGTCCCCTGGGATTCACGCCGGAATAGCGTGATTTCATGTCCTTAACCTGTCGACTCGCAAATCAGCTGCTGGATCAGTTTCATCACTAATAGGCAACTATGTGACGCACATCAGAACACGTATGTTGCATGGCTGAGGGACATTTCCATGTTGTCAAAACATCGTCTTAGTAGCACCTTAAGTCACAGTACCTGTCTTAACATGTTAGATATGTTCCCGTCGACCGCAGCCTGGATCCAATCCCAGGCGACTCAGGGTAAGAGGCAGTACTGGGCACAGTGTGGGTTGCCAGTATATCCCAGGGCGAACACTCATACGCTACCGGCTGTTTAGAGGTGCCAGTTCGCCTGCCTGCCGATTGGGATTTGAGTTCCCGCCCCCTGCTGGTGTGAGACAGCAGTCACACCCACTGAACCACCACGCTGCCTGGTGGTTTGTCGATTTTGTGAAATAATAAGATGCTGCGCAGGCAGTTTTGCATTTGCTGCAATGCTACAGTCGCGTCCTGCCAAGAGTTTTAAAAATACCGGTGATTGCTAACCTGTGTTACCGGGGATTGTGTAAGAACTGGGATCCCTGCCGACCGCTTTGACCTTCCCGCATCCTCGCCCTACCAGCCTGTCCTCACGGCTGCCTGAGTCTGTCCCGGCACCGACGTCAGTCTTCAGATTC